AGAGAGAGAGAGAGAGAGGGGGGGGGGTGCTTATGTGTTAGCTGTGGATAATATTTCCATTCGTTTTGCATTACGGAAACTTACATGATTATTGCATGTTACTAATAATGTTATTGTTTGGCTCTGGCACACACTCTCTTTTTTTCTTTCATATGTCATATAGTTACCAAATACGTAATTAGTGCACGTTCGTAAATAAACGCACTCCACTATTCGACCATTCACGTGATAATTTCGCTGTTGCACAATTTTTTTCGTTTAACTTTTGATCTCTAACTTGATAAATTCTTTACAGTTGTATGTACGGTCGTCGATACTTATATAAAGATTTAACCAGATGCAATAAATAGTAGTATAGACGTTTCTTATCTGTCACTATTTTTTACGACATTCATCAGATAATCATTATCTTTTATTATCATGGAAATATTGAGATTAATGTGTTCGTGAACTTAGAATAGTTGAGAGATATGTGATTTACTTCAGATACGGAATAGGGACGAAGCTTCAACGAAACTCGTAAAAGTTTCTTACATCCCTCGAAATCCTGATCCTATGCAGGAAAATCAAATGAAAAGTGGAAAGGAGTAGAAGTGAAAGAACGAAGTAACCGATCCGATCAGTTTACAGGACGAAGAAATGTGGCACTAGGTGGCATATCTCATTCACAGCCGCATGGTCTTAATAATAATACCGAAGTTTATCTGCTGCTGCTGACATTTAACAGTTTTTATTGTTATAAATTCATCGTCTTCAAGTATAAAACAAAAAGAAAAAAAAATATTGGGGTAAAGAAAGAAAAAACATAAATAAAAATATATGCTTTGCAAATAAAATAAAAACACAAAAGAAAGAAAGGATATAAGAGAAAATGAAAAGTAAAAAGAGAGGCAAAATGAATTGGAACAAATGGAAAAAACGCTTTTGCCAATGAAGAGCCAATTTGATACTCTGCCAACACATCCCACGAAACCACCTACCCCATAGCTTTGCTTTGGATACTACTCACAATATTAACAGCTAATCGATTGTTGTCGCACTCAGTTTTAGTGAAGATTGTCAATGCACAAGTTATTAACTACGCTTTGCGATTACGATAATTCTGCTTCTCGAGTGGACAAATTTTTCTTTTCTCTGGCTAATTAAATGGAGTATATTTTCTCTTAAATCAGTGTTTTAATACCGAACATGCCAGTGTGAAAATATTGTTAAAATATTCTGTAAAATTCTTATCTTTTTAATTTTTTTAATTTGGGTTTTTTTCTTTTTCTTCTTTTCTTTTTTTTCTTTTTCTTTTTTTCTTTTCTTTTCCTTTTTTTCTTTTTCTTTTCTTTTTCTTTTTTTTTCTCTTTCTTTTTCTTATAACTTGCTTCCAAATTTTACTGTTGCTATCTCGTATCAAAGTTACTAATATATCTTTTTGGTACTATGGAAGTATTTGTCTGCGTTGCAAGTTATATCGTCCAGATGTAATATTTCTTTCATGGTAAACTTTTATATAAGAAAATTTGGGAAAATCGACATGGATCAAATTAATGGATTATGGAGAAATTTCTTTTCCTTGTACTGTTCGTCGCTAGGAAGGTAAATACACGAGCATAGGAAAAACCAGTTTATTATATGTGATTACAGAGGAACCAATACTACCTCAGACCCTACCGCCAGGTGTTACGCAAAAGGATGTTGACCTGTTCAAAGAAGCTCGGGACAGGGCAGCACGGTTGACAGCTGTGAACGGTGATAGCGAGGAAGCTGTGAATGTGGGTCCAGGAAACAACAATACAAGCAATACAAGCGGTGGCATCAGGAATCCCGCGGCCATAGTTTTTGGCCGATACGAAGTAGAGACGTGGTATTCCAGTCCATTTCCCCAAGAGTATGCAAGATTACCAAAATTATTCTTCTGTGAATTTTGTTTGAAGTACACCAAGAGTCGAGCTGTACTCGATAGGCATATGGACAAATGTCAGTGGAGGCATCCGCCGGCTACCGAAATTTATAGGTGCAATGGATTGTCAGTTTTTGAGGTATGCTTTGAACGAGAGTTCTTTCCTTTAGTTTAATATATAGATAAATATATCACTCCGTATACAAAATGATAATTCTAATATCTCGTGTTTCAGATCGATGGTAACGTGAACAAGATTTATTGTCAGAATTTGTGTTTACTAGCTAAATTGTTCTTGGATCATAAAACACTCTACTATGACGTGGAACCATTTTTATTTTACGCGGTAACGAAAAACGACAAATATGGTTGTCATTTGGTTGGTTATTTTAGTAAAGAAAAGCATTGCCCGGCGCAGAGATACAACGTATCGTGTATTATGACACTACCGCAATATCAGAGACAAGGATTTGGGCGATTTCTGATTGAGTTCAGTTACCTTTTATCTAAAGTGGAAGGTATTCCAGGAACGCCGGAAAAACCTCTTTCCGATCTCGGTCGAGTATCGTATCATTCTTTCTGGAAAAGCGTCGTACTCGAGTATCTCGATGCTCATAGAGATTCCACGGATATTAAGATGGGAGATATAACGAAGGAAACTGGCGTATCAGCTCACGACATTGCAACTGCTATGCAATTGCTGGGTTTCGTTAGATCGGTCCATCTGCCCGGAGAAGGAAATTCGAAAGTAGCCGTGGTAGTTGATTGGAGTAAAGTGGATGCACATATGACAAAAATACGAAAGAGCTCCCGTATTAAATTAGATCCCGATTGCCTTAGATGGATACCATTGCTCACACAAATTCCTAATCCATATCAGAGTCCAGAAGAAAGTGGCGACACCAGTTCTGAGTCTTCTCCCGTGGCGGAACCGAAACATGTAACTACCATTGTCGAAAAAATTCAAAAGGTTAAAATTAAAAAGAAACCGAGAAGTAGAAGGGTGGGTCAAAGAAGATCCTCGCTTCTAAAACAGAAAACTGTTCAAAAATCTTCCACACACAAAGATACTACTCTTAAAGACACGAAAGAGCCGAAAGAAATAAAAGCCTCGAAAGAGACTAGGGAAGCGAAGGAAACGAACGAAATGAGGGAAACGAAGGAATTGGAAAGACGGAGTCGAAATATTATTGCTGCATTGGTAGAAAATACTAAAGAATCCGTGGAAATAGAGTCAAAAAATGTCGCTACAACGTCAAGAAATTCTAGAGCAATGGCTGCTTCAAAAAACTCAAATCCGACGAATTTAATGAAAACGCCAATCTTGTCAACGATGGTATCTTCGTCAACGACGGCAACTGCAACGACTACGACTACGGTAATGACGACTACGACAACATTGTCGAGACGAAGAATTAGAATACCGAAGACTTCTTCCCTAGGTGAATCGGTAATAACGATGTCAACGACGACCTTAGCAGCTCCTCTTCGAAAACGAAAACATTCCGAAAAGACTGAAATTGAAGAGAATGAAGAAAGGTCTGAAGGTAGTTCCAGGAAAAGAACCCGCGAATCTTTGCGGGAAAAAGAGAAAGATAAGGAATTAGGAAGAGAAAAGGAGAAAACGAAAGAGCGAGATAAGCTGAAGGATAAAGACGTTTACTCGAAAGACAAGAGCAATGTAATCGACGTGGAAAAGTCAGCTTCTAAAGCAATAGAAACGAATTTGACATCAGTGGTGCAAAAACCTGCAAAGAAACAATGCAAAGTAGATGACATCTTGTTAAAAGTGACCAGCCGACAAACCAAGTACTTACAAACAAAACAAACTAAAGAAAAGAAAACTTCGGAACAAAATCAATGTAACGGAAAGGAAGAAACAAAAGATATCAAAATTTTACCGGTGTCAAGGCGAGGAAGGACGAAAGTTGAGAAGGAAGCTTTAAAGATGCCGCAATTAAAACCTGAAACTCCTACGAAAAATCGACCCGAAACTCCAGTAGTACTACCGCCATCATTGTCTCCGTTACCACGCTCTGATGATATTGTTTTTCATTCGACAAATAAGCGACAATCATCGCCCGTTACAGATCAGTTAACAGTAATTGCTGTCGAGAAAGAGATTAATAACGCAGTAGATACAGTTGAGAGTAAAGCTGACGATGTCTCTGCGTTAATCGCTCATTCACAAGCAGAAACAACAATATCTGCTAGTTCGGGAGAATATGAGGGAGGAGATGAAGACGAAGGCGAAGAAGAAGTACCTGCACTGAAGTCAAAATCTGTGACCTATGTGAAAAATAATTCGAATCAACGAACCATAAAGATGGAAGATGATGCACAAGGTAAAACACTTGAAGATGTCAAGGCGGCATCTTTCGTACAAAGACCGAAAACAGAATTGCGTGTCAAGGAAGAAGAGATACAAAGGGAAGTTGATAAGGGTGAGATAATCAATGGTGAAGGAGATGGTGAGGCGAAGGACGAAGTTGAGGGTGGTAAGGTTGAAGGTGAAGGCGTTGGTGAGATCAAAGATGACGGCGAGGGCGAGAGCGAGGGCGAGGGCGAGGGCGAGGGCGAGAGCGAAGGCGAAGGTGATGGTGATGGTGATGGTGATGGTGATGGTGAAGGCGAAGGCGAAGGCGAAGGCGAAGGCGAGGGTGAAGGCCAAGATAAAGGAAAAGGCAGAAACAAAGGCAAAAGCAAACGCAAAAGCAAAGTAACCGATCAAAGCAAAGGTAAAGGCAAAGGCAAAGACGAAGGCGAAAGGGAAGTCGAGATCGAAGTCGAAGTCGAAGTCGAAGTCGAACTCGAAGACGAAGGTGATGGTGATGGTGATGGTGAAGGCGAAGGCGAAGACGAAGATGAAGGTGATGGCGATGGTGACGGTGACGGTGACGGTGAAGGCGAAAGCGAAGGAGAAAGCGATAGTGGAGGCAAAGGCAAAGGCAAAGACAAAGGCAAAGGCAAAGATAAAGGCAGAGGCAAAGGCAAAGGCAAAGGCAAAGGTAAAGGCAAAGGCAAAGGCAAAGGCAAAGCCAAAGCCAAAGGCAAAGGCAAAGGCAAAGGCAAAGGCGAAGGTGAAGGTGAAGGTGAAGGTGAAAGTGAAGATGAAGGCGAAGCCGAAGGTAAAGGTGAAGGTGAAGGTGAAGGCAAAGACGAAGGTAGAGGTGAAGCCGAAGGTGAAGATGAAAGTAAAGGTAGAGACAAAGTCAAAGGTGAAGAGGAAAATGAAGATGAGGGCAACGACGAAGATGAAGGTAAAGGCAAAAGTAAAGGTAAAGCTAAAAGTAAAAGTAAAGGGAAAGGCAAAGGCGAAGACGGAGATGAAGGCGAAGGCGAAGGTGATGGCGATGGCGAAGGCGAAGACGAAGACGAAGACGAAGACGAAGGTGAAGGCGAAGGTGAAGGGGAAGGGGAAGGTGAAGGCGACGGTGAAGGCGAAGGTGAAGACGAAGGTGAGGGCGAAGGCGATGAGGAAGGTGAAGGCGAAGGCGAAGGTGAAGGTGAAGGGGACGGCGAAGGAGAAGGAGATGGCGAAGGTGAAGGTGAAGGCGAAGGCGAAGGCGAAGGCGAAGGTGAAGGCGAAGGTGAAGGTGAAGGCAAAGGTGAAGGCGAAGGCGAAGGAGAAGGCGAAGGTGAAGGTGAAGGCGAAGGCAAAAGCGAAGGTAAAGGCAAAGGTAAAGGTAAAGGTAAAGGCAAAGGTAAAAGCAAAGGAAAAGGGAAAGGAAAGGGGAAAGGTAAAGGCAAATGCAAAGGTAAAAGCAAAGGTAAAGGGAAAGGCAGAAGTAATAAAGACGAAGGTGAAGGTGGAGGTGAAGGTGAAAGTGAAGATGAAGGTGAAGGTGAAGGTGAAGATAAAGGTGAAGGTGGAAGTAAAAGTGGAGCGATGCAGACAGAAGGAAAACAGGAAGAAAGTGAAGTTAGAAAAGAAAAATACAACAAGGATTTGGAGGGTGAAGAAGCAATTTGTAATTCAGAAACGTCTAAATTGGTACCTGACCTATCTTCGTCTAAAGAAGAAGAAATTGAAAAGTTGAAAACTGTTACTCAAGATGTAGATAATTGTAGGGATGCTGATAGAATTTCCGAAAGGTTAACATTAAAAAATTCAAAAGAGGAGTTAACAAAGCCAAAGATAGAAAGTTCTTCTGTAACGCCGATAGAAAAGAAAGAATCATGTTCTGTCGTTTCGAATATTACCTCACCTGAAAGAGCACCGCTAACACCGCAAGAAAAGGTACTGACCGTTAACGAGCACCAAGAAAATACCATTCATCTTCAAACCCACTCGGAAGAATTGAAACAAAATTCACCCGAGAGTGGCAAAACAACGCCTCATTTAGACAATCCTGGCTCGGTGAAACGAACACCCCCCTCTCAACCTGACCTACCGTCTATGGGAGTTTACACACCTGATTCGACAACGAATTCGGTACATTCGTTGCATTACGGTCAATGTGACTTGGATGTTAGTCAGTTGGGATTAGAATCCCCTACGTCAATTGCCAGCGATCTTGCGTCGCAAAACAGCGTGGAAAGACCACCCAGTGCGTTACCATCGCTGCCACCGTCTGTTACCGTTCCAGTTTCTATATCCATGCAAATAACAACGCCGGTTACATCCGTCGCCGTGAATATATCACCGCAAGTACAGTACGCCGACTGTTCGATGGCTCAACACACCCCATCGGCTCATGTCGGTATCCATCCCATGCATCAGCCTCATACACCGCAGCCTATTCAGCAACCACGGACGCCACAGTCTCATACTCCGCAAAGTATTCAAACGCAAAGTCCGCAACCTCTTCCGCAGAGTCATACGCCGCAACCGTTACCTCAGTCTCATACGCCACAGCCTCTTTCTCAATCTCATACGTCGCAAAGTATACCAACTCAAAGCCCGCAACCAATGCGACAAAGTCATACACCCCAACCTTTGCCACCGTCTCACACACCACAACCAATGCAATTATCTTTAGCACAGCAAACACAAAATCAGAGTATGGCGCATAGTCAATCTCAACAACAGTCTCAAGCACAGCAGCAGTCTCAACAACAATCTGCGCATCAACAACAACAACAACAACAACAACAGTCTCAAACACAGTCGCATAGTAATAAAAGAGCCAATGGTTCGCAAACGACTCATCGATCTAGATCGGTACAGCACAGTAGCAGATCGCATCGAACAACTCCTCCTACATCGCATACTCAAGCTTCTTCTCAACATAATACGACCTCTCATACGAGTCACACGACCTCTCATACGAGTCATACAACTGCAGCTCATACGACGCATGTTCCACCACAGTATCAACAGTCTTCATCGATGAGTGTACCATCGGTTCCACATCCTCATTCACACACACATGCTGCTCATTCGCATAATATGGCAGTTATTTCACAAGGGAACTATATGGCTGTTGCTTCGCAAACTTTTCCAACACAAAACACGTATGTGATTCAACATCGAAGTAGTAGATCTGGTGCACCTACACCATGCACAACAGCGACAAATTTTTATATTCAAACAAGCGCAATGCCGCCGCATTCGCACACTCCAGCGCCTTCCTTGTCAGCTTCTGGAAATCATCAGTCCACAAATTCATGTAGTTTAGCAAAATTACAACAATTGACGAATGGATTGGACATGATACCTCCTACACCATCACCGGCGATGAATTTAACGCCTCCGCCACCTATACCGCATACTATGACACCACCGCAAACGTCGAGGCAGTTACCGACACCGCCTCAAGTACCTTTTGGTTATGCAAAGAATTACTATAACGTCAATACAGTCCCACCTGCTACTCCCGGACCACCTAGTAGATCGACCTCAAGATCATCGGCGAATACAAATATGCCACCTCTGACGCAACCGCATCCAAGCGAGAGCCTATATCGTCAAACTCTCGATCCTGGAAGTACCTGCCCTGAAATGCAAAGTGCCGCCAGTAGGGTCAGTTCTAACGTGACGTTAAATACGAATCTCATGGCTCAGTATGGTTATCGGGTGGCACAACCTGCTACTGGCTACATGAATCAAGCTCAACTCGGTGGCTTTATGAATCAGGCCAGTCAGTTGCCTGTCGGAGTTGTTAATGTACCTGCACCGTATCCTCAGGATCCTCATCAACAGAATCCAGCAGCGGTGTACACAACGTATCACGGTTACATAAATGGAAGTCTTATGCAGCCTCTGAATAGTTCGATGAGGCCGCGTTAGCCCCATTCATTTAAGCGCACATTCTCTTACTTACAATAAGGGCACCCCAAATCAGAGGGGGAATTTCCACATACTATGGTTCATCGACTAACAATGATCGCTTCATCTTGAACAAGTTAATGCTCTCTTCTGTACGAACTCTGACAACATTAAGAACGATGTTACTTTTCAAGAAACTTCCTACTTCCTTGCATTCGCTTCCACATTTATCCATTTGAAAGGCGAAAATTAACGTTTGTTTTTAGCTTTTCGCCGTGAATACTTTATGACGTATTGCTTTTCTCTTAGGTTGCAGTTGTTATATTTCAACGTAATCTTCTCCTTTTCTTTTCTCTTTTTCTTTTCTCCACGCTATACATCCGCGTATAAAAGAAGAAATTTTATTTATCGTTTTACGTGTAGTCGCGTTCTTTTTGAAAACCAATAAAAAATTGTAAATCCGGAATCAAAAAAAAAAAGAAAAAAAAAGGAAAGAAATGAAATAAAAAAAAAAAAGTAAAAAAGAAAAAGGAAAAAAAGATAATGGAAGCGCTTGCATCATAAAAATTAAAGAGCTCGTATTAAACGGATTCTTAACTTGTTGGAATGCATAAATGAATGAATCTGAGTATATGTGAATACGTGCGCGCGTGCGTGTATAAGTACATGCCTTGGCAACAGGGACGTGTACGTACGAATTATAATAATAGTATCGAGTAATAAACTACGAAACTTGGGTTCGTAATTTGTGCATTTAAAGCGATTAACTAATCTACTTTGAATGGATCTGTCGATCGATGAACAAACATAAGTGAGCGCACACGCGCGCGCGTTGTGTGTGTGTCCTGTATGTGTACGCGCGCGCGCGCGCATATGTGTGTAGGCAGCATGCATGTATGTATATACAGTTCGTGACTCATCCACGATCGACAAAAAGGATACCTATTTTTAGTAGGGCATTCCCATCCGAAATTGTAATGGTGTTACGTTTTATGTATAATAGTGTATATATATATATATATTATACATATATATATGTATGTGTATATACATATATATGTACTACATATAATATTTGCAAAGAATATTCTGTTTGATATTATCGATTGTTGAACGTTGTTATTTACTTTTTCTTCGAGGCACGCTGTACTTTACTGTATCATAAAATAATTGTATTACTATTACAGTAATTATAATTGTACTATTGCAGATTAATTATTATGATCGCTAACTTGTTCATTGCCATTGATCGATAATCTTTGTTTATCATCAATGTGAACATCGCGTTTCTCGTTAATAATCCTTTATAAAAATTCTTGCCGTCATCATAATCGTCAGCTGTCTTCGTCATTGTCATATTTCTTATTACTATTTCCGTTATGATTATTATTACTAGAATTATCATCGTTGTTTTCGATATCATTGTCACCGTCGCTAATAGCCGTCATTTTCATCATTATCATTATCGTCGTTGTCATTCCCTCATCTATTTCTCATTCTTATCATCATCGTCGCCATCGCCATCGCCATCGCCATCGCCATCGCCATCGCCATCGCCGCCGCCGCCGCCTCCGCCTCCGCCTCCGCCTCCGCCTCCGCCGCCGCCGCCGACGCCGACGCCGACGCCGCCACCACCACCGACACCATCATCACCATCGTTAAAATTATTCTAATTCTTATTATTATTTTTACTACTATTATTATTACTATTGCTCCTACTACTGCTACTACTGTACCACCACTATCACCACTATTACTACTATTACTACTACCACTACTGCTACTACTACTACTACTCCTACTACACTACTCTTACCATCACTACTACTATTGCTGACTCTACTGTTACTGCTACTGTCTTTAATACTGATTAGTCACTCTTATCACCATCACCATCACCATCACCATCACCATCACCATCATCATCATCATCATCATCATCATCATCATCATCATCATCATCATCATCATCATCATTATCGTTGTCATCGTCATCGTCATCGTCATCATTATCATTATCATCATCATCATGATTATTATCATCTTTGTCGTCGTCGTCATTTCATATCAATATAAATAACATATCATCATCATCATCATCATGATTATTATCATCTTTGTCGTCGTCGTCATTTCATATCAATATAAATAACATTTTACTCTGTCCTAATGCCTCCGTAGTTTGTGCACAGATACAGAAACAAACACGCGCAAGCGTGCGCGCATACATACACACATATATTCATTCTTTATCCTCTATTGTATGTAATACTTTTATTTTCTATTATTGAGCGAGAGGGCACATATACTAGTTTCGAAAAGAATGACAATTGCGTAAATTGCTCTTCCACGGAGCGTCGCAAAAATTACGCTGAAATTATTTTTTGTATCAAATTATAAGAGGCAAGATGTTGATTCTTTCGACCTCTTTATGGGAAATGTAAAATGGTGCTCGTTCGCGTACGTTCAATTGTAATTTCCCTCTTGTCCACGACGCTTCGGGGAATGGTCGCGAACAAATAATATATTTATAGTATGTTACGAATTTAATTTTTTCAGACGAGACTATAAAAGCGAGTGGCAAAAATTTGCCTAGTTTTTAGCATAATTCTTGAATGATAAATGAGGTCATTGATAGTGTAAAAATACATCAATATTTATTGTACATAGAGTTTAAAAAAGCTACTAACAAATAAAAAGGAATCAAAAATAAAGGCTTCACGAGAATATTTTGTACGAATAAAAGACTTGTAAAGAAGACTTCCATGGAAAGAGCGTGTTCAATACACGCATAGCTGTATGAACTTTGTAGTTGTTCAATTTCGTTCAGCTTTTACCCCATGATTTTTCATCGATGTTTTCCATCTTCTTCTGAACAAAATACATTAAACGATAAATTATGCAACGAAAATACGTTTGCAGGTATGTAGGATTACCTTGTTTTTCGTTTCTTTCTTTGTTCTCGTCTTATTTTTTCCGCATTTGCCAGATCTATATATTTTTTTCTCTGTTCTGGAGTCATTTGAGTCCATAATTTCCCAGCTGCTCGTGCAATCACAGTTACATGTTCTTTGGGTTTCTTAGTTCGTAATCGTAGAAAAAATATGATAAAGGGATTAGTTGCGCGACATTTTATTATTTCTTTCCCATTGGCACGGTGTTCAGAGCCAGTCACAACTTTTTTATTCCTCGCGGAACGATCATCTACGCTACCCAAAGATAAACATACAAAAGTACGCTTTCATGTATCGCTGATTTTATCATGAACAGACAGAAGCCAGAATAAGTTGTAAATTTTCTTACCTGTCGCCACTTTCTCGTTTCCGTTCTTTTCGCGCTTTCGATGACTGTACGGATCCAGTGTTTCCCATTCTATTCGTAACTTTGTCACTCTCCTTTAGAAAATTCTTGTCATTTGCTGCATTACTTGACAATTTTTTGCAAAGATTTTTTTAAAAACTGAAGTTGAAGCGACATTGTCGACGGAAAACGAGTCTTCCCTTGTTTCCTTACGGAAACAAACGAGTATAGAAAAATATTAAATTTTCAATAAATTTTTGAAGTGGTATATATAATAGCTGCGGTTGTAAAGTAGCGAACGGGAGCAACGAAATGGTCAGGGGGAGGGGAGAGAGAGAGAGAGAGACTAAACAACGATCAGATAACAAAATTTTATCTTTATTGTATTATTGGATGAAACTAATACAATTTTCGATACGGTAATATTGGTCATGTAAGCAATATGAGGACAAATATGAGATCATATGCTTATTAAATGTAAATTCCACAAACGAGGTATAAGTTATTTTTTACTTCATTTGTATTTTACGATAAATAGCTTTTGTAATTTTTATAGCTCTCCACCAGCTTGGGCAGCTCTTTTTGGCTTTTTATTCTTATTCCATTTGTCTCCGCAATAGCAAGCCGCCTTTTGGGCGTCTATATAACTCTTGCATCCCAAAGCCGTGGTACCGGTAAAAAGCATTTTTGCAGCAGCTTTGCATGTATTTACTATTGCAGACGACTGATATCCGTCACAATATTTGTATAAACATCTTTTGAACTCCAAGTCACACTTGTCTTTATCCGAATTACAAGTATCGTAACAGATGTCGTGTGTGTCACAACATTTCGTCATTTCTGAAAGCGGTAGATATTCTTGGTTTATCTAAAATTTTAAAGCTGTTCAATTTCGTTCAAATTATGATAATATATCACAATGGTACATCGCAATAATATCTGTTTCGAAGAATTTACCTACTTCGATTCCCAGAGAACCGCATCCATTACTTTGCGGTTTATGATTCCAATCCGCTTTTGGTACTATCCCTGAAATTGTTCGATGTATCAAAAAATATTCGTATAAGCTATAATCAAATTAAACATAACTATGTCGGAAATATAGTTTCTAACATTGTATATCTCTTATGAATATATAGCGTAATATGTACCGACACGAGTTTCTTCAGACATGACTAGATAGGTTATATAGTGTATTAAGATACATAAATCAAAAGTTAGGTTATAGGTTAAGTATACTGTATCGTCGTGTCATAAAATTTTATCAATGCTACATCATTATTTCTCACGGGTTGCGATAAGTAAAGTTTTGATATCGACAATGGAATAAAAATTAGAAAGTAATAGGTTAAACATGTACCTCCAGGACATCGAAAAATACAGTTTTCTTCTACTGCTGCGTCAAACACTTCGTGTATATCCTTAATTTTTCTAGCTACAGTAATTGCATTTTCAAATAAATCTTGGAATACCGATTCTGCTGTTAATACAGCGTCTTTTAAGTTGTATAATAAACCAGCTCCGTAGCCTGACCATGCGTAAGCCAAAAAAGTTAAAATATAAATTAGGGCTTTTCGATATTGGGAAAAATCCATTTTCATACGTTCCCGATACACTTGGTAATGATACACTATATTTTACCGGTTTGTCCGGATATTTTTAGGTAACTTTAGTCACATTAAGGTATATTTGATTACGGACACGTGGTGACAAACGACGAAATAGCTTTCGTGGTATACTTTCATTATACGACGTATACGCGTAAAGGTAATGATGACCTTTTAAGCAAATCAGAAATTGTCTAATAGATGTTTAAACTTATTAACGATAATTACTTACTATCACTATTATCGTAAAAGTGCAAGGATAATTGTATTATTTTTTAATCGTTTAAATAATAGTTTTTATTAATTTAATAATGAAAATCAATAAATAATTCAGGTAATAGCCAATGATTGATACAAAAGTAATATATTAAAACATCTTTTGCAATTCTCCATTGTCATATAATTTCTTTATATCTGTCCCACCTCCTAAGCATACTCCATTCACAAACACCCTAGGTACTGTTCTAGCTCCGGTCATTTCACCCAATATAGTTTGGATTTCAACACCATCGTCCCTCTCATTCAACTCGATAGCAGTATATTCTTTTTGCAAATTGTCAAACACCTACGATAATATTTTGTTAATTGAAATAAAAATAATAAATATTTAGTTAATACCTGTTTAGCTATTTTACAATATGGACAATTGGTCTTGGAAAATATCACGATAGCATGAGATGCTATGATTTGGTTAACTTGCTCTTTTGTTATTGGCATGACAATTTTTTTGCTGGAAATGGTTTCCTGCTAGAAATTGAAATCATTATATTAAACTAATAATATTATAAATATAATAAAATAATGAAACCTGTATTTCTGTTTTCATTTCGGTTAATTCTTATTAATAGAAAATTTTCTTGATACACTTTATTACATTCCCATAAAATGAATATTAAGATTAACTACCTGCCTTATAACTTTTCTTGCTTACTATATCAGCCAGGCTGTTTTTAAGAATTATTTTCGACATATTAACGATAAATCTTAACAATGTTATATATGATTTGATTTGAAAATTATGATTTAAAACATAATACATCTTTGACATGTGTATAGTGTTGTGAAAAATGTAATCTGAGGTTTTCTCTTTTTAGGTTGTTATTTAAACAAAATACTACCGCCGAAAAAAAACTGACTCTCGGTGCACAGTATTTTTAATATATATTCTATAATTTTCATTTCTATTATATTTACTGATTGTAGATTATTATCTTTAGAAAGTAGAAAACGTCACAGATTTAGCATATGTTATAATATTAATGGAGAAACCAATACATCAACATTTTCATTTTAATGAATGAGAGAAATTCATATAAAACATACATGCAAATATACGTCTGTACATTATGTGTATTTTTTTAATAACTAACACTTACAATTAATCAAAATTTCATATAATATTCAAACTTGTGTATATGGTATGAAGTATAGAGGTATGTACTTATCTCCTTGCTACGGTTAACATTTTTATAGAAAGCTTAAGCTTTGTTTAGAATGCGTTGCAAACAAAGAATTTTGTGTTTTGTATTTTATGTCTTATATGTAATATAGGAAACCTATACAGAATGTTAAATATATAATGTTTATCATTATTTGTAGTGTTTTTACAGAATTTTTAGACAAAAGCATATGATCAGTTTTTAAAATATTGTAAAATCAGAGTATCATATTTTAAAATTGTATGAGAATTAGCGAGGAAAACAGGAATTTATGTATTTAAAAAAAAAAAAAAAAGTTAAATTATGTATTTTAAAAGGATTGTTCGTATCAGTGATTTTTAATTTATACACTAGATGGCATGTTATGATTATTTATGAACGTCTCTTTAAAGTGATAATCCAATGACTATAGTGTTGAAACTATTCTCTTGACATTTGACGTTACGCATTATTGAGTGTTTTCTAGGGTTTCTTCGGAATAAAAATGGTATAAGGAACAAGTGTTCTTGAAAAAGATGGGCAAAATTGTGAAAATGGCCTATCCAGGTGGTGGTTTATATGTTGTCGAAGGTGAGGTTTGCCTTCTGATAACAGCTATGAGACGAGGTACTCGATGGTCTTCTCACTCTCATCAGGTTAGAATGTACCTCATCGTTTTATCTCTTTTCACGCGAAAACATATGTTTTAATTGCTATAATAATCAATTAAAGAGCTTGTATCTGTGAATTGATTTACGAATTATATTTATGTGTGTTCTTGTCACGTGGGTCTATTTGAATTGTTATCAAGTAGAATAAGTTGCAATAAATAGCATATCGATCATATAGTGATGTATGAAGAAGTATCAATATAATTTAATTATAATTGTTTGTATTTAGATTTTTATAAATTTTTCACGTTTATCTATCTATCTTTTGGTCATTTTTAAGGATGACGATCAGGGTACTCTTATAAAAGGATTATTCACTTTGAAAGAGGGATTAAACGAAGCAAAAGATTTATCTTATTTAGAACCAAGCGTGTTTCTGGCGCCATTCTTAGAAATTATAAGATCAGAAGAAACGACTGGACCTGTTACTAGTCTAGCGCTATCTGCTGTTAATAAAATGATATCTTATGGTCTTATAGGTATATATTGTATTTTATTGATTAAACTATATTTTCAGAATTCTATTAAACCGTTATCTTTATAGATTCTGATCATCCTGCAATAGCACAATGTGTAGAAGCTATTGCTGATGTTGTAACACATGCAAGATTTGTTGGAACTGATGCATCAGGGGATGGGGTTGTTTTAATGAGAATACTCCAGGTTTTGAGAGCTTTGATGCTATCACCAGCTGGAGATTATCTTTCAAATGAAAGCATTTGTGAAATTATGCTCAGTTGTTTTAGAATATGTTTTGAAACACGTCTCAGTGGTAAGGATTTTGAATACATAGAAATTCTTTTTCAATTCCAGCAATGTTTCTTCGGTTACAGAATTGCTAAGAAAAACAGCGGAGCATTGTTTGAGAGACATGGTACAGCATCTTTTTACTCGATTACCTCAATTTGCAGATGATACTAGAGTCTTATTAAATATGAAAGTAAGTTGCTAAATATTTTAGTAGAGTATAATATATTAATATGTTGTTGTATCATTTTAGAAAATGAGAACAAATGGTATGGAAAGTAATCGCAGTAAGAACAGAAGGAATAAAAGTCATTTCAAGCAAAAGGCAAAACAGAGTACAGAGAGTATAGGAGAAAATCAACTTCCAAGTCCAACTGATAGAGTTAGGTCAAGTTGCCTGACAACACCTGTTAATTCAGTAGGAAATATCGTTGATATGCAAGGTTCTTTAGATCAAGGTAGCATTGAAAAAGCAGACGAAGAAAAGTATGATAATAAGGAGCATATTAAGAAAGATTTAAATGATGTAAATGAAATTATCAAACATGAAGCTGAATCAGATATAAAAACGGAGAATGTGAATTTAAAGGGTATGAAGGAGTCTAAAGAAAATACGAATGAAACAGAGGACAAAGCAAATGTTATTATTGAAAAAGAGGAAGTTTTGCAGAAAAATAGTAAATGTATAGAGAATACAGAAATGCACGAACATAATCAGACGAAGAAATTAAATTTATTGAAGCAAGGAAATCAAGGTAATTATGTTAATTTCTATTTATATTATGATTTTAATTATTATTCTTCTGGTTTTATAGAAAACCTGAAAAAATCAATGTGTAATGATAAAAATACAAATTTATCAAAGTCTCCGGCAGGAAGCGTGGAAGATTTATCGGTAGATGAAAATATAAGTAACATATGTAAAGCATCTAGAGCTAAAGAATTTGAACAAGTCGAAGAATACGTAAATGCCCAGGGTGTCCGTTTTATGCCACATCAACAATTAGCGCCGTACGGTGCTCTCTGTGTGCGTGAATTATTTAGGTTTCTTGTGTCTTTGTGTTGTCCTCACGATAAACAAAATAACGAAGTTATGACACACCTTGGGCTGAGTTTATTACAAGTTGCTTTAGAAATTGCTGCCGACTATCTTTCCAACTTTCCGTCATTATTGGTGCTAGTGAAAGATGATCTTTGTAGAAATCTTATTTTGGTAATGATGATGCTATATTGATTTATCTTTATCTTTATTAGGTTTATTTGGAAACAAATAAACGTAATAAAAACAGAAAGATACTTGTAATAATCGTAATCGCATTTATTAGCTTCTTGGAACAGATCGATTGTCGATACTTGCAGCGGATTTGCAAGTATCGTTTTTATTATTTGAGTCGCAAAGGGAGCATTTAAAGTTTCAAATGGAGCTTCACATGAACAGACTGATGGAGTTAGTGAGTTCAGATTCGAATAGGATATCATACGATCAACGTGAATTAGCTCTCGGTACGGATACGGTATAATAGTTACATTTTGTGGAATATCGTTTAAATATAATTGCACAATGAGTATTTGATGAGTTTTAATTTTAGATGCCATTGTGCGATCATGGAGAATACCTGGTTTACCAGCAGAATTGTACTTAAATTATGACTGTGGCTTGTATTCTACTAATTTATATGAGGAATTAATGAAACTTTTTTCAAAGGTACATCTTAATTTTGTGGTAAAGTAGTGTATATGTGTAGACTCTTAGATTTCCAATTTGGACTTGTGTCTTGAACTTGTGTTTGCAATACGATGTTCTGAAATAGAAGTTGTCGCCAATAGGAATTTTATTGCAACGTTTCGTCATGAACTAATGGCAATTAGCATTTTCAACGGTTGATTACAAAGGTTGATTACAATAAGCCTTGTAAGATTAGAAAGGACAGGTAAGTTGGATCAATTGTAGAGGTGTATTAATAAGATGTTGGAGAAATTAGCTGCAGTACTGATAAAACGTTGAGATATTAATTCCAATTGGTCACAACGAACATTCGGAAGGTTAAAATAGTACGAATGAAGAATAAGTTGATTAAATATCGTATAAACTAATTAAATATTTGATGAAGAACTGCATCCTATATACTTTGTTATAAGAATGCTTCAGCCTTAATGGGTAATATGCAGAATATGCAATTCGTTTCTTTGGATGCGATATTCACGTTGATCTCTGAAATGGAAATCAGATGCAAGGGTTACAAAGAGTTGTGTAAACCATCACGACATAGTGCATCAGCAAATCTCCCAACACGAGAGGAACTGCTCGCTATAAAGGCAAATAAGCGGGTTCGTTTTTATTTTATTGTTTAATTACAATTAAAAAGCTTTATTTTTGTTTCCTAGCATACTTTTCCACTTGTCTTTTTCTTCTTTCCCAGCCTTTCTCTTCCTTCTCTTTGTCTTTACTTGCATTTAAAAAAGTGATACAAATATGTATTTCTTACAAATATAGTGGTTGGTGCTTGGTACAGAAAAATTCAATGAAAATCGGCGGGAAGGAATTGTTAAACTGGCAGAACACGGGCTTTTGGGCGGTAGTCCAGGCAATCCTGATCCAGAGAAAATAGCCAAATTTTTGAAAGAGAATCCTGGCCTTGATAAAAAGGCTATTGGGGAATATATTAGTAAAAAAGAAAATAAAAGTGTATTAAACTGTTTCGTTCATAGTTTTGATTTGAAAGATATGCGAATTGATCAAGCTTTACGACTTTATCTAGAGTCTTTTAGGCTTCCTGGAGAAGCTCCACTTATCTCTCTGTTGCTTGAAAAATTTGCTGAACATTGGCACGTGAGTGTAATATTTTTATCTTATTATAGCTTATTATAGTTTATTATGTCGTGCATATCGCGTTATATGAAAAATTGTCTGTTTTGCAGGATAGTAATGGAAGACCGTTTGCATCAGCAGATGCTGCATTTACTTTGGCGTATGCTGTAATAATGTTGAACGTGGACCAACATAATTATAATGTGAAGCGACAAAATAATCCGATGACTGCTGATGAATTTAAGAGGAATTTAAAAAAGGTGAACGGCGGTGCTGATTTCGACCAAGGAATGCTCGATGAAATATATGCCTCGATTAAGTAATGTCCTGTTCCGCTTATGATTTTCAACAGTAATAAAACTATTATTATTTTGATTTTATGATTCGTTTGTGACTGGTTATATTATATCTTTTTGTTAGAGGTGAAGAAATCGTGATGCCT